ATGATTCTCGTCAAAATATCGCGTTGAAAAGAGGACGAAGGGAGCGAGAGGGCTGTAAGAATTGATGTATCCGCGTGGCGTAGAGGTCGCACCGGGACTATCCGCGGCAGAATAGAAGAGGAGCAGGGGGAGAGAGAGGAGGAGGAGGAGGAGGAGGAAGAGGTGAGCCGACGAGGCACGGGGACCGGTGGGATGAATGGACGCGGTAACGTTATATACGTGGACCGGTAATTATGACTCCTCTAATCACCGACAATTACTGCGGTTACCGGGCTCGCGGCGTTATCTCGACCGGTCCATCTCGCGCCGCAGTAGAAGAAACGCACAGATAGAGGGGAGATGAAGGGAGAAAGAGAGAACGAGAGAGCGTGGCGAGATGTCCGGGATTTAACGGCAGGCGAGCGAGGAACGCGCTGCACCGGAATCGATTACGAAAGGGGAGACTGTTGAATCCGACATTTTTATTCGCGCTCGTCGCCTTTTCCTCCGTTACTCGTAGAAATCGTTGCGTGAGAAATCAGCGCAACTGACGCTCGAGATAAGAAAAATCTAAAAAATTAAAAATATTCGGTGGGCGCTCATAATATGTTTACTTAAATCTACATTTTTTTGTTTAAATAGAGTAAACGGTTTTTTTAATTAAAAATGAAGGTTTTAAGAAAATATCTTCTTATTTAGAAAATGTTTTTCTCGATGTGGGAATAGCGACAATTATCGAGAAAATTAGTTTGAATATTATTATAACGCCCATTTTGAATATTCTTTTGTTTCTTTTCATTTTATTGTATTATTTTTACTTCTTGGATACCTTTTCTCTCAATACACCAACAAACATGTAAACGCGAAACCTCTTCCGTGTTAAAACGGTAATTCGATTGACCGGTCGCTTTTCATCTCGAGGAAACTCCACTCGCGGATATCATCATGGCGTTCGCGTAATCGCGATGGACAGAGTCGGATGGATGGACGGGCGGAAGGACCGATCATTCCGTCGCGGAGGATTTTAATACGTTTTCGCCAGTCATCACCCTGGCCGCCTCCCCCGCGCCTTTACCCCGTTACGTCGGTCGAGGTCGATATCAGATCGCCACGCTTCGACGTCGGCTATGTAATTCGCCGGAGCGAATACGCGCTGTCTGGTTCCGAGGGAAGAGAGCGAGAGAGAGAGAGAAAGAGGAGAGAGAGAGAGAGAGAGAGAGAGAGAAAGAGGAGAGACGGTCGCGGGATGTCGTGCGGGGCGGAGGCGACGGGGGGATATTCAAATGGCCCTACTCTTGTATGGAAATGCGCGAGATGTAAAGATGACGGTGTGGGATACGCGAGTCCCGGAGTCGCGGGGAATATTACCAGTCGTTAGCGCGACAAGCCAGCCACGATAACGCTCTCCTGAGCGAGGCCCGTCCTCCTTGAACTCGTGGCTTTTAAGGTCCTCTCGCGAGAACGCTAACGCGATGATTGATAATACGAGGGGAACGAGAGAGCGAGCGAGAGAGCGAGCGAGCTGATACGAAAGAAATGAGGTATGTAAATAAGCTGGGAGAAAGGGGGAGCACCGTCTATTGTCCATTAATCTCGTTTACGATTTTCGATCGACTCGATCGTCGTCTTCGTCATAATATGTGCGAGACAACCGTGGCGAAGGAGCGGACGCGTGATGAGGTATCCGGTGTATCGCGCGACGATGAGGTACGTCGATCCCTTTGACAAATTACATAATCTGGTCGGAATAATTGTATTTTAAACGCGTGCATGTGCATGCTCGACGCTGTCATTGTGGATCGCGCGATCGAAACGTCGGGACACGCAGATTCGTAATGACGAAAAGCATCACCGCGGCCTGAGCTTCTCTCGCGCAACGTGTAATTTCGTGGGCCGTGCAAACGTCGAAACTTTCGCGGACCTACGAGGGAGATATATGACCGAGTACCCTCGTCACTTGAAGAATCGAGCGAGCCTCAGTCGGCTCCGAAGAGAGATTTGGCCCCTTCGGGCTGAAACGAGGTAGTCTTGCATTCGTCGTAATAGGCGACTCGCCGAGGTGTTATTAAAAGCGGCACAGGAAAGCCGCGCAACAATTAAAAAACTACTCTTGCGTCCTGGGGACGCTCTGAGAATGCTCGGGCGAGCTTGAGAGAAGTCGCGAAGGGGATGCATTGATTTCACTTTTGGTGTGCGGAGTATATACGAGAAAATGGAAAATGTTTTTCAAGATATCTCTATATATTTCTTTTAAAAAGCGATTCAACATTTTCTGCACTTGGTGCAGAAAACCCGAGAAATAGGAGAGATATATTTTTAGGTAAATTTTGCCAAGTTCCCTTAACGCGTGATTTAATATTTTATGTGATGGATGAATAAAAAAATCATCACTCTATTGAAATATTTTGTAATCAATTTTAATAAATTTCCTTGACGAATAACTCGATATTTTACGTAAATAGTTCATGAAAGTATCTGTAGGGAAATAGAAAATATTTCTCAACACATTTTCTTAATGAATGATATGATATTTTATATGATCTGGATGCATATAAAATATTTAATCATGATATTCTGCGATTCGAGCAGATAACGTTTACTCAACGCGATGCGCTTTCCTGAGCAACCCTCTCGAGGCCGGACGGAATGAACCCGACTGCAGGAAGAGAGAGGGAGAGAGAAACGGTATCTTTGTATGTGTCAATAGAGCCGGTCAATTTCTGCGATAATTAGGCGCGATACCTCGGGATACACGGTTGCCGTTGTATCCTCGCGAGGGTCGACCTAATTAGGTATCGATCCTCCGGACAGATAGCCTCACCCGTATAGTAGCATGCCTTCTATAATTGTACAAGATACTCTTTGGATAAAAGAGGGCGAGAGCAGGAGAGTGGAATCGGCCTAGCGTCTCAATTATCGATCGCGCCGATACGTCCATCGCCGACGACGATCCTTGCGCGTAGCGAAATTCCTTCGTGTATGATCGCGTTAACGTCTAAATCGCGCGATCGTAAATCGTTAACCGAGAGAGGAGTAAACGCGATCATCTCACGCACCGGTTACCCATCGAGTCTCGTCGAGTTTCGACGCAGCAAGCCCGCCGCGGATACCTGCTCCGAGTGCGGTGGGCCCTTCGCTTTAGAAAAAGAACGAAAGCGCGAAAGAAAGAAAATAGGCGAGAAAGAACTTTATCCTCCCACGCGCGGAGGGAACCCCCAAAACCTCGGAGATAAAATCGTCCTTCGCGCCGGTAGAACCGCTAGAGAACCGCCCAGCTTCCAAAAGCCCCGTCCGGCAGACGCGTCTCACGCCAGAGATGTCGATTATCGTCGATATAAACAAAGCCCTACGTAAAACAGAAAGGTGCTTTTCCTCTTAGACTTATTCTTTCACATGGAATCATTCCCTTTCGGGCTGTATCATCAGCTTGGTGATATTCTTGATCTCGCTACCCTCTAACTTTTTGAGTTTTAGAATGAGAAATTAGAAATTTTAAATTGAACAATATATCAGAAATTTAAGATAGAAAAAATCATTAATTGAAAATTGGAAATCTAAAAACTTACAAATTAAAAATTAGAGTTTTCACTCTTAAATTGCGAGTAACTCTCTTTCGAATCGTATCGTTTCAATTCGATGACATCCACTATATCGTTGATCGCCAACTTAAAAATTTTTTCAATTCTGAGAAATTGAAAAGATTAGAGAGTGAAAATTAGAAATGAAATTTTCCACTCGCGATTCGAAGATTCGGCAACGAGGGCGAGGCCATGCGATGCGCGGCGCGTTGCACGACGAGAAAGGTTTAATAAATAAATAAATAATTATAATAAATTATAATTTAATAAATAAGCAGTGGCGGCGGGCCAGACAGACAGATGATAATCAGAGATTCACACGATGAGTTTCCGCATCGCCGCCGCGGTCGTAGACGCAGGCTCGCGCGGATGCCTCTCTCGCGGCATCCGAAAGGAATACGGCATCAGATACGCTCGCAGCCGTTTAGCATGCAACGATGCATTCATATCGATCGACGCATGCATATGCAACACCTCGCCTCGCGCGTTACCGGTATGCATTTCGCGCGCGTGTGCAACGAGCAGACGGACAGAGAGAAAGATAGAGAGGGAGAGAGAGAGGGTGGAGAAAGAGAAAGAGCGAAGAAGACACTGACGCGTACGTTTTGCGTGTGTAGGCATGCGTTACCGCGCACCCGTTAATTACCGCCACCCACTTACCAAAAATTAAGGGACTGAGATAAGCGTCGACCATTCTTCCATTCGCGAACTCCGCAGTCGATCGCGAACTCCGCAGAGGGAAACATGCGTGTTACGTATGATGACTGCTGCGAATCTCTCGCGTTACCGCATTAACGTGCACTTTTTTAATGAAACAGCGTTAGATGGCCTCTCTGATATTCAATCACCGAAGAAACAGGCTGACAAGAGTAATGGGGAGAAAAGAAAAATTGTCAATGGAAATTAGTAGAATAAGTTAGAGAGAGAAAATCCAAGTATATATTATCTTTTTAACCTCACAACGTGTAATTTAATTCTTATACGTTTTTTGCGGCTTGTAGTTAAATAATTTAACGCGTTTTTAAGAGAAATTATGTCTAAATTATAATTTAATATTATTTATGGAAGTAACACACCTGGAGTTCTAGTGAGAGCGTTGAATGAACGTGACGTTTTAATATTCGGAAAGAAATTTGCGCTCGCGAGCTGAGATCGAAATCGGTCGATTCGTCGAATTGTAATCTCTCCAATTCGCAAACCTCTGTGCCCGATACCCAGTCCGATACGGGTTGGTCGATTGCTAGAGATCGGGAAACACGTACACCGAACTGCAATTACCGCGCCGGATTTCCGCACAACCGGCGCATCAGCGCGCTATCAGTCCGCCGCGAGCGAGCGAGCGAGCGAGACGTCTCAGCGAGGGGCGGTTTTTCCCTCGAATTTCTCACAGTGTAATGCGCGTGCCCGCGTGTTAACGTAGCCATAGAATAGTGTATCGCTTACTTGCTGGAAGTTGCCGTACGCGTCAGCCATCCTCGCGATCAACGTTCGTTTCCGCAATCGATGTCCGCCTCGGCGGAGGAGCTGCTCATCGGCGCACACTTACCGGCTGCAACAGAATAACAAAGGGGACAAGTCTCGAGTAATCGGTCATCAGAGACAATTAATATATCGCGGCGATCTCGAGTCAACTCGACTATATGTCTGTCGCTCGTAAGAGATTTTCTGAATTTCCTCGAGGGAAATATATTATTCACAAAAATCGAGTGACAGCGGAGTCACTCAAATATAATTAATTGTATTTTAAGAAAGGAAATTAGAGAAAAACTGCTTAATATAAGAACTGATGCTGATCTTATAACGAAATATCCAAAGACAAATTAGTGTTATCAACGTGGTTAGAAATTTTTTGGAAATTTTTGAATATTGCGCTAAGAAATTAACAGGATTTTTAATATTATGAAATAAAATGATGATATTAAAAATCATCAGATTTTAGTTTACCAATTTTCACGATCGTTTAGAATGAAGGCACTACCACTCGTTTTTAGTGAGATTCCATTCCAGAAAATTTGAGAGTAAAGAAGTTCAATCTCTCATGAACGAAGTCGTCAAGCGGGGGTGTCCTTTCACGATCAACGGACTATGTATTGCATTATCTCATTATGAGAATCTCGCAGATTCTCCTCGCGAACGCTCGTTTGCTCGTTAGCTCTGCGAGTCACGAGGACGTAAAAATTTCGCTTAATGGCTCGTCGTTCCGCCCGATCGTGAGATCTCGATCGAGCGGAACGGCGCGCTGTTAAATTTTTTAATCGCGTCGCACAAACCCCCGTGACTTTCTACACGTCTTCGGAAAGAGAGAGAGAGAGAGAGAGAGGGGGGGGGGGGGGGAAGAGGAGAGGCGAGGCGCACGTATTATTACGGGAATAACTTTATTACGTCTAAGGAAACTGGATTTTTGTTTAAGAGGAAGAGAAAGAGAGAAAGAGAGGCTTCGGTGAAGAGAGCCCGGGGAAAGCTCGCACACTCGGTTCAATCGCGAGTAGAACAAAGCGACGTTAAGCGGTCCGGTGGGTGGAGTTGCGCGAGTATCTAATGCGAAGATGGTTCTCGAACTAATGCCCACTCGTAAGCGAGGGCCTGGTTCGTCCGGAACCAGGCGACCGCACTTTTTCCGACAAATGGAGCTTATTTAATGATCTCGATGAATAAAGACTCGACGAAATCATATTTCGTATCATTCATATCAATCCGTGTTTATCTACGTTGTCATTCGAGACAGCTAATCTTGAAAAACGACCTAGCTTTCGAGATAATACCGTCGTACTGATACCGTCATTCGTAACCAGAGCCCATGCCTGGCCAGATGCAGACAACTCTTAGATTTCTTACTTATCATTTTGTACACGGAAAAAAAGATTTGGTTGAATTAACCAAATATCTGGTCAAATATGAACAATCCAGAAATTCTGATTGAAGTAACCCGATTTCTGTTTAAGTTAACAAGATGTTTGGTTGACTTAAACAGAATTCGAGTTACTTCAATCGGAATTTCTGGATCGTTCATATTCGACCACATATTTGGTTAATTCAACCAAACCTTTTTTTCCATGTAGATTCGATAAATAGGATCTCAGTATTTAATAAGTAATTAATGAGTAATTTTTATCGATTTATTCTACGTTGTTGATACTGCCATTTGGTCAACAAATCGTTAAAAATAAATTAGTTTTCGAATAAATATCAATTCAGAATTCATGTTCGGCCGGGCAGGATCTACTTTTCCCGACAAAGGTCTTATTTATCGCTCAGTGCTTGCAATGAATGAAGAATCAATGATTGTTATTTTTCTTGACTTATTCTGCGTCGTTGACGCCGTCCAGTTATTAAACGTCGGAAAGGAAGAAGTATTGAAACAATTTACTGACACAAGTCAGAACGAGATTTAAAGCACGCCTTATAGTCCTCGGAGGCTCAACGTGTGCGCTAAAATTAGCGACTCCGCGCGGAGTGCTGTCATACGGAGGAGGGCTCGGCATTGTCGCTGGAACGTGAACAGGTGTTTTTTTTCCCTCTGCTTGCGTACGTAGCGTCTCCCTTAAAATATTGTAATATCTCGTTGACGTCATGGCGGAATTCTATTCGGAAAAGTTGGCAACACCGGCTGGTGCCATCGGAGACCGACGTCCCCGACGACGACGACGACGACGACGACGACGACGACGACGAAGGGTGGCTGACTGGCGCGGGTCGCCGCGCTGGGGTATGCGTGTAGGCGAGCGTGTGCGCGTAAAGTGTACAGAGAGAGGCGCGGCGCGGCGCAGCGCGATGCGCCCGGTAAGAGGAAGACGTGATCGATGCCCGTGGGATGCGAGGGCGTTCCTGGTGCGGGAGGCGCTCGAGACAAATGGACGTCGCGCGTCTACCAACCACGCCTTGCCGCGGGAGAAGAAACTCAGTTGCGTGTGCAAGTACCCTCTCTCGCTCTCTACTTCTCTCTCTTTCTTTTTCTATGTCCTTCTCTGTCTCTCTCCTTCTACCTCTCTCACTTTTCGCCCTCGGATCCTCCAAGTCTTCGGCGAGGTCTCGCGGTCGGCCACTCCGGCTGGCGTTGTTGGTGGTTGATCGCACAGAGAGGGATTTTCCTTTAAGCGTCTTTCCCCGTTTCTCCCGTTGTCTGGTCGACGCCATCTCGCTTCGAATGGTATCTTGCCATCGAGTGGAAGAGATAGACTCAGGTCGGGATCAGATAAGACGTCGATTGTATTCCGGTAATTAATGTCAATCACGGAGTGAATGAATGAAAGGATCGGCGCGGAACGGACTCGGCTGTGCACCTTCGCAGCAATTATGACGACGCTCGCGGGTCTTGGGTGGACTTTGCACCTTGGCAAAGGAGCAGAAAACAGGAAGGATGGAAGTCAAACAGAACTCGCGCAGGTGGTTAATTGGTAGCTGACAGTTTCGGCTTTTCTATCAAAGCGAGATGTAAATTCTCCCTTACGCGCCACGAAGTGGTCAATCGATTGTCGTATCTGTCTGTTTGGATGACGCGCACGGAGCGGGTATTGCGCAGGTGGATTATACGGCCGTGCTTAGTAGTGAAAAAATTGAAAAAAGACGATGTGTCGTTAAAATACGTAATAAGCGATGCAGGAGAAATGGCCACTGGGGTGGAGGAGGAGGAGGCGGCTTGGTTCGAAAGGTGCATCGCGTGCGGCCGGACGCTCGACTTCTATACATAGAAGCAACCCAGAAAAGATACAGAGAAAGAGAGAGAGAGAGAGAGAGATCGCCGAGCGCAATGACTCTGCGAATACGCGATCGTTTGAACTCGCGCGCAAAAGCTCATCTCTCTCTCTCTCTCTCTCTCTCTCTCTCTCTCTCGTGGCTCTCCTTTTTTTCGGAGGAGGCAACGAGGCCGTGCCGCGTCACCTCTCTATAAATAAAATCGCGAGGCGAGAAAGAAGAATCGCCGTTTGCTTGCTAACGCGGACGAACGCAAGCGCAAAGAAGGAAACGCACGCACGAGCGGCGGTGTTATGCGAAGGGCACGGTATTTAAATTTCGAGCGAGGTAGAACGGCGTACAAACAAGCGGCCAAACGGGCGATAAATATTCAACGAGCCCGACGGGAAGCTACGTCAACCCTCCTCGATTTCACGAGCCCTTCTTCTGAAAGTTGAGTCGCGCCACGTACTCGCTCTTCTCGTCTCTCGCCGGACACATCGCGCGACCCCGTCATGAAACAACCATTGGGAAGTCTGCCTATTAACCCCGAGAGTGATCACGACAGCGCATATTTTGAATTCGTGATTTCGACTATCGTCATCCGTGAAAGTCGAACGTCATCCTTGGGTTGCTTTCCCTTGAAAAGTCTCTTAAAGTAAATCAATAATAGGAATATTTTTGATAATCAGTGATTATTCATTGATTTCCAGTGGAAATACTTCTATTTTATCTTATTTTTCATTGATTTTAACTAGTGGAAGTAAGACTAGTGTACATGAGACTCGATCCATAATTGGGACTTATCTTATTTATGATTGAACTAGTTTTTTATTATTCTAGCAATTTAGTGAAGAATACACTAATTATACATTCAGAGAATGTCGCGTGGAAAAATGTTAAGTCCCACATTTCTATAATTTGTGCAGTTATACGATCGCTGAGATCGTTGGGTTCACGTGGAACTTTGCACTCCTCACGTTTGAACTCTTAGGAAAAAGTTACACGATCGTAACCCAGGTCGTTCGACGACGGCACCCCGAGAGGAACAGCGACAGGGAAGTCCATGGAGATGACACGCGAAACGGGCACATCGGATCGTCGTCGTCGTCGTCGTCGTCGTCGTCGTCGGCGCGATGCACACGTCCGCGGTCAAAGGCGAAGTCATGATCGGGTCGTTGGCGGTGATGGAAAAGGACGCGGCGCGAGAGGCGTCAAGAGTCGCGTCCCGTTGTCGATGCGCCGTGCGGGACCACCCAAAGCGGCCGGGAAACGCGCGGACTATCGGTGTAAGGGGATAACGATAGCGCAAACCTGTCCTAACAGCGGGAACCGCGAGATAAGGCGGGCTGAATGCAGGTGTTTAGCGGCCAGGCCAGTCATCGTATTGTCATTACTTACGACTGACACCGCGCGCGGCCGCGGTGAAGCGGTCGACGTCGTGGGACGCCGCGGGGGTCGGACACTCTCTTAAATTTCGAGAACACGCGCGCTCGCGCGCGCAGTTCTGTCACGTCATCGGCCGCGTCCGACTGTCTCTCTTCCTCTCTTTCTCGTTCCTTCTCTCTTTCTTTCTCATTGGTGGCGACGTGTCCGGTGATCGGCTATCACGGACAGCCAGGTAGACATTGTCGGTGAACTCGAATGAATTATCTCCTGAGGAGATTACGTGTGCGGGCACGAGGCAGCGGGGCAGGATGGCCGTCGGGAATTATTATTGTCGTATAGTGGCTTGCAAAACGGTTTAGACACAATAAAGTTGGCAGCTCACTAAAGTGCCAAAATTGAGAGTCATTGTTGACGGGTTTGCCTAATAATTACATTATTAACTTATAGAACCCCCCTCCTGCCCTGAACACAGAGCAAGATTTATGCAGA